TACACACGCCCTGGAAAGAGGCGGCATGAGAGGGCCTTGGCCGTCAGCCAGGTGGATGGCAGAGCAGTGGCTCCCTGAGACCCCACTTATTCTACCCACTTCATCCTAGGAGACAGAGCCCATGCCAGGGAGGGAGGTTTCCTGCCAGCTCCACAGGGGACTCTGCAGGGTGGAGGAGGACGGGGCCTGGGAGCCCATACCTTGCAGGGGGGCTGCTGTGATGGCAGGTGCAGGCACCAGTCAGGGGCGCCCAGGAGCACTGGCCCTGGCCGGGGCTGGCGGGACCCTCAGCCAGTTCTTTCCCCATTGGCTTCTCAGCGGCTCCATCCTCCTGAGGGCTCAGGGGTCTCATCTTTACAGCAGGACTCGCAACACCTAATTCACAAGTGGCACCCAGAAAAGCTGAGAAAAGGGACAGCTCATGACAGTGCCACCGTGGACAGTGGGCCACCCACTCAGACGACCACTGACAATGGGCCAGGGAGCAGCTCCCACCGCCAGAGGCCTGGGACAGGGTGGTTTTCTGCAGCCCTCAGAAGGACTCACACACAGCACGGATGCGATCTCACCAGCCCAAGATCCGACAGCGTTGGTCCTGTCACCCCACTTTACAGATGCGGACATGTGGCTCCATGCCACCAGCAGGGAAGGAAGTCCCAGGCCGGGGAAGCTGCACCTGCACACAGCCTTCCTCCACAAACATCGCTTCCTCCCCGCGTGGCCCTGCACGGCAGCACTGCCTCGTCAGAACCAGAACCAGCCTCAGACAAGGGCAGGGAGGCGGCGAGGGCCTGGCCTGTGGGCGCAGGGGCCGCAGACACAGCCAAGGCCAAACACCAAGGCCCCATGTCTCTACCCAGGGATGCTGCGGGCACAGCACCAGCCGTTAGCACTGGCCTTCCCCTGCGGAAGACACACGTGTCTTGGCCCTGAGGGTCTCTCTCCCTCTGTCCCTCAAGGCGCATCACTTTGGACAAAGGGGGCCTCTGTGGGGCCACACACACCCCAGGAAAAACCCCAGGCCCTGTTTAAACAGAACCCAGGGAGTGCGCGCCAGCCCTGCCTTGGCCCCAGCGACGGCACCCAGGGTCCCCTGGCTCTCCCAGAGCTTCCCAACACTGTGGGACAAACTGGCTTTGAATGACCGGTCCTTCCAGGGAAAGAAGGGGACCGGGGAAATGTCTCTCAACAGCGCCAACCCCTCCCACTGGGGAGACCCTCCCGAGCGGCTGAGATGGGAGGTGTCATGACCGCAGAGCCCGCTGGAAAGCAGAGACAAATCACTTTCACTTCAAGAGAAATAGAAATTCTGTTCCACTTGCAATGAGACAAAAGGTGGCTGGGACTCCGAGGCCAGCTCACCTAACTTCCTCCTCACACTGTGAAGGAAAAAGGAGGAGAAAAGGGACTTGGGGCAGCCACAGGCATCGCCGGTCCTGCTGGACTTCATTAAGAAAGACAGGTCCAGTTTTCCAACGTGTGCACAGCGAACAGCCAGGAAACTCTGGGGCTAGGAGAACGCCCCCCCGACACCAGGAACAACTCACGGTCAATAAAAGCCTCTCGCTCCTGGCAGCCACGCCGGCTCCAATCGAATTCCACGGGAGGAAAAAGTGGCTCACCAGAAACACGGAATTCGGAACCTATCTGTGACCTAGTGTTTCGACCGGAAGCCTGCCAGGCGCCAGCTGCAGAGTGAGACCTGCACGGTTTTCTGGAAGAACGAGCCGGGATAGGAAAACAGCCTCCTCCACCCAAGAGCCGTTTCCTTTTGAAAACTGCAAGTTGCTCTCATTCTTCAGTAATAAAGCAGGCGAGCTGCGGCGTGTCTTCCGCCAGCCATTCACAGGCATATTTCACAGATTAATTCTCACTGCCTCCCAGGCACACAAAAACGCGGTGGGTACGATTACTGCCATGTTACAGATGGGGAAACTGAGTCTCAGCGAGGTTAGACAACTCACCCAAGATCTCCCCGCTGGGAAACAGTGGAGCAACGACCTGGCCCGGAACGCGGATTTCTAGCACTTCCCTGTGGTAAGGGACTCTTCACCGACGTCTGCGGGTGGGAAGCAGCTTTTCCCACTCAGTTAGAATAGCAAGGAAGCACTATGTAAGATCCTAATTTTTTTTTAGATAAAATAAAGCTTTTTCCAGAATCTTGACAGCTGAACACACTAGAAATAACGACAATTTGACCTAGCACAAAAAAGTGACTGCTCGGCAAACTCATTAAAACCCCGAGGCCACAGCGTGGCCTCCCACCCCAAGGCAGGGCCTCAACCCACAGAACAACAGGCAGCAGTGGCCGTGGCTCTGGCAGGTGCCCAGGCCAAGCCCAGGACCGCCCCTGCAGCTCTGCAGGTAGCCTTACTGTGACCCATGCTTTACCAGCAAGAGTCTTAAAGCTCATCAAGGTCACCTGCTGTGCCTAGATTCTCCCACCAGCAAGAGGTGGCAGCAGCCCTGGGTCCCAGCCTGCGTGGCCCGAGGCAGCTTGAACCCCAGCTCCCCAGAACAGCCTAGAAGCTGCCTCCTGCCTGGCTGATGACACTCCTGCCACCGCAGCTCCTTCCCGGTGTCTAGGCAGGTCTGATCAGAAGTGTGCCCGAAGGGTGTGTCTCAATAACTTGCAAAACTTGGCCGCGCTGGCCGGCCCCGAGCACCCGCCCTACCCTGCTGAAGCCCCAGGCTGCAGCTTCCTGGAAACTGAGCCGAAGCCAACTGCAGGTTCAGCGAATCTCACGCCACCGTCACCCCCAGTCCCGCCTTCTTCTAACTGGCACATCTCGCTCCTCGGAGGGCGGCTGCTCTGATCCTTCCTCTGCTGTCTGCGTTGGGCCGCCGGGCCCTGTCCTGCCTCCCTGCCGGCCTTGATACGGGGTTAGTATCCAGAACCACTGCATTTGACAGTGAGGCGCGGCTTCCTGCAAGGGAGGCAGTGCTGGAGTGTCACTGTACTCCACCTCATGATGCCACCACTCATAAAGCAGCCACATCCGTGATCCCATGGTAGATGAAGACGCTGAGACTGAGAAATAGCAGAACGGCTTGCCCAAGGCCGGAATCCAACACTCGACGGAGCTGGGAGTCCAGCCCAGGAGGGCCTGTCCCGAGGCCAGCACTCTGCTGAGCGTCTGTTCATGGTGACACTACGCGGTCCCCAGTGTGGTTTTCTAGAAAGGCGAGACCTTCAGAATTACCCTCTCCTCACACACTCCGAGTCCCGGGACCAGTGTGACTGTGCCCGTCCCCACCAGCAGACATCACTACTGCTAACACCGAAGCAAACTCAGCACGTGCGATGTCTCCTTAGCGTGGCCCTGGCAGAGCACCAAGACTGAGTCAACACGGTGTCTGGCTTGGCGACCCTGAGTCGCCGAGAAGACACATGGCCCTGGGGCCCCACCTCAGCCGTGAAACAGGGGCAGCTGGATGCAGAACCGAGGCGCAGACGTGGCCAGCAGCTCACAGTGGCACTTCAGGATTTCGGGAGGAGACACTGCCCTACATTGTCCCATCTCCGCAGCCCGGCGGAGGAAACCCCAGAGCCGGGACGGCCCTTGGAGACTATCTAAGCCAGCCGCCTCCAAACACGCTTTAGCCACAGAGCCCTGGGTGCAAACCAAATCTTCTGCAAAACCCAACTTACGTAAAAGAAAAAGAAGCCCAGTGGAGGGTCCTGGTGCCGCCTAACCCGAGCTGCAGGGGCAGCGGTCACTGCGGTCACTTGGGAAGTACAGAGTCCGGGACCCTGTGCAGGCGGCTGCCCCAGCACCCAGGAGGCGGGGCCCTGGAACCTCTACAAGCCCCGGCGACTCCAAGCCCCCCTACCCCGGGCAGCTGGAGATCACTGTCACCTGCGGAGACTCTCACCCTGTTTCCTGGCAGTGGGACGCAGCGTTCCCATGCTCTCCCACACAGGACCCTGACCTATGAAGGGCTGAAGTGGGGGTCCCTGTGGGAAGCAGAAAAGTTCCTTTGTAAAGTTTCCTTTCTTGTTAAAGAGCAAGTGTGCTCATAACTTGTTAAGGCCCATCCTATGTAGCCCTTAGACACGCCATGCTACAGGCACGTAGTACACTCTGTGTCCTTATACCTTAACCAAGCTATCCGTGCTGGGCGTGCTCACAGGCATGTCCCAGCTCTCCATGGCTTTTACCTGTTTAGAAAAGTTTTAAGTTGTTAGTCAGTCAGGTTTTAGATTGTGAGGTCTGGCTCCGGCCAGTGGAGATCAGACACAGCAGTAAGGACGACCCCACATGCGTAGGGGATAAATGTGCCTAATTTCCTTTGTTCATTGTACTCGTGTGGCAAGATGGCTAGCAAGAGGACCCTTCCTGCAGTCCAGGAAGTTAAAATTGCCTCGCTGAGAGATCCTTTGTCTCAGTGCTGATTTTTCTTTGCGGCACTGAGCATCTGTTTCCAACAGTCCCCAAGCCCGCTCTACTCAGATCCGCGCTCCCCAGCCTCTGAAGCATTCCCCAGGACAGCAGGGCCCCTGGCTGGACGCATCCAGACTCTGGAGTGAGGCCAGCCTGAGTCGGGTCGGCGCAGGTCTTCCTGATGCTTCCACCCAGTGGCCCAGCTCTGCCCCTCAAGCTCACCCTGAGGACGCTGCCCTGTTCCAGGATGGGCCTCGGATACAGAGGGCAGAAGTCTGCATGTTTCCAGGAGCCTCAACGCAAGGCTGAACAGAGTCCCTCTCCGTTCCCAGCCAGCACCCAGGAGACTCATATACTAGGCCTTTGGGACAAGGGTGGTCACTGCCAACCCCACATGGCCTACAGGCGACAGCAGCTCTGGCCCTCCATTTCCGAAGGCCACAAACATCCCTTAGGACAGCAGCAGAGGCTCCCGGCCAACAGAGAGCACTGTGACCACGGTGAAACGCCAGCCGGTCCCTGCCCGGGAGCCACCTCCAACGGCAGCGGCGGCGGCTCCATACGAGGGGCGCGCTGGTGGGCGCGGTGCGGGGTGTGGTCCGCCCTCCGGCTCACCTCGAACACCTCCTCGTCCAGGATCCGCGTGCCAAACACGATGATGCCGTTGACGTCGATCACGGGGTGGTTGCTGCGGTCGAGGAATTTCGTGGTCTTCTTTCTACAGTCGAGGATCAAGGTGACATTTTTCTTGTGGACGCTGAGAGCGATTCTGTGCCACCTACAAAGAAACAGACGGTGAAGACAAGGCTTGGATCGCAGACGCCAGTTCAGGCGACGTTGCTGCAAATTCCTGGGGACGCGGGAAGACGGCCCCCTTCCCGCACGGTCGTGAGGATCACTGAGGAGGTCAAGGCCCAGACTCCGGAATCAGACAAGTTAGGGCAACCCCACGTGCCGTGAGGTCTGACTCACACCCCCGAATCCTCGCCCCTCAGACAGGGACAGCTGTCCGAACCCTGGCAGCCCATCGGGAGCCCAGCGAAAGGAGGAGTGTGGGGCGCGGGGCACGGCTCGGGAGCCGGGAGCGGGGTCCCGGCGGGACCGTCACAGCCTTCGGGGAAGCACAGGGCGGTGGCCGTTGCATTTAGACGTTAGTATGAGGGCACTTGTCATGTGTCCTCCGAACCCTGATGGCAAACTGCCGTCGGCCAGAGAAGACGTGGACGGGTGTGGACGGGAAACGGTGGGATGAGCGGACCTGTCTGAACGTCTTAGTGAAGAATTCAGGATTCACGTACCGAAGGCCTTCAGAGATTGCCAGGCACGACCCCACGTATGCTAGCCACAAAAGAGGTGACTGTCAGCCCCTAGTGCTGAGCTCTGCACCCAAGGGAGCATGCGGGCAGAACCCGCCTTTCCTCACGGCTCACCCGACTCCCAACACATCTGCGCCCTGGAAGGACACCGCGAGCCCTTTCTGGAACAGGCTGGGTAAAACCACACAATTTCCTATGTCCCTTCTGTCACAAACAGCTGGAATTTGATGTGCATTAGTGCACCTCACAAAGGGGAAATGGAGGGCCAGGGAGGAGAAGTGACTCCCCAAAGCCACAGAAGATGAATCAAGACCAGAACCCAGTTTCAGGACCCCAAGCCCAGCACCCTCTCCTCTGCTGCAGCACCTGTGGGAGTCTCAGTACCGGCTGCTGCTGTCCCCGACCGGGCCCCACATCTGGTCAGTGGCATGAGCTGGCCTGATCCCCCTCCAGCAGGAGGACGGGGCTGCCCAGCAGTACCCACTTACTTGCCATCCGACAGGTTGATGCCCCGGAAGAGGGGGTAGTCTTCTGGCCCAGGCTTCCCCGTGTGGTCCTCGTAGAGGAAGACAGGAGAGCGTCCCATCTCCAGGCCAATCTGCTGGATGCCCTGCTCATTGTAGATGGAGACCAGGAAGGCCTGGCTGCCTTTCTTGGCTTTCACAGTGGTTAGGATGGAGAAGTCCTCGGGAAATGCAGACGCTGGAACAGAGCACAGAGGTGAGAAGCCGTGAGGGAGCCCCCCACCCACGCCCAGCCACGGCTCTCTGCAAATGAGCCATCCCAGAGCCCTGGGAAGCGTGCTGCCTGTGGTGGGGCACTGCCATCTGCTGCACATCTGCCCCCTTGATCAAACTGCTCCTGCAGTCCTTCCCTGCTCCCACTTGGCCAAGCCTGCTACTTCAAGGCTCAGTGCAAATGCAAACTCCTCCATGAAACACAACTGGTCCTTCCACCTGGGAGCCCTTAACACCTCGTCCTCAGCTTCTATGCCTCAACACATCTGTGCGTCGACCCTCAGGAGAACCTCCCAGGCTGGGAGCTGCCTCTGGGCGGAGGCTGCTTTTGAGGCATCTTTGTACCCTCCATGGTGTCTCACCACTCAGCATGCAGGGAGGGAGGGAGGGAGGGAGATGGGAGAGCTGGAGGGAGGGAGGGAGGGAGGAAAGGAGGGAGATGGAGGGATGGAGGGAGGGAGGGAGGGAGAGGGAGGGAAGGAGGGAGGGAGGGAGACAGAGGGAGGGAGGGAGACGGAGGGAGGAAGCAGAGAGAGGAGGGAGAAGGTAAGCAGCAGCCTCCGACTGCCGCAAGAACTGGACTGTGTGTCATTTCCCGACTGATAATGCAAAGCAGAGAAAGGGTGGAAATAACTCAAAGAATTTCACCCTAATTTAAAATTAGAAAAAAATATCCCTAGTATGCTAACAGGAGGAATCACCCCTTACAACACCCACCAGAAGCATTCTGAGGTCACTCAAAGGCAGACCCAGGCTGGCCCGGCCACGAGCACCCAAGCCCACGCCACACGCCGGCCCCGGTCCGTGGGCAAGACCAGGAGCCTCGGCCCCTCTGGTCCAGCGATGCTGGTGGTGAATCCGGCGATGCTCTTGCCCTGTGCCACCCGCCGTTCTGCCCACAGCCTGGGGCTGATGGGGATCCTGCAGCTAACTGATGCCCCTGGGTCAGCCGGGAGTGCTCGGTCTTCTGGCTGGTGCTGAGGAGCCCACAGCCTTCCCGAGCCTCCAGCCTTCCTGCCATCCTGCGCCACTGTCCCCTGCACTACTTGCAATTCTTATTACCATTATTGCTGCTGTTTTTGAAACAGAGTCTGGTTCTGTCGCCCAGGCTGGAGTGCAGCGGCTCGATCTCGCCTCAAGCGATTCTCCTGCCTAAGGCTGTGGGTTCCTCAGCACCAGCCAGAAGGGGCAGCACCCCAGCAGGGCATCAACAGGCTCATGCCAAGGAAGGAGGGGGCACCTGCTGCTGGAGCCGCCCCAGACAGAGGGCTGGGGTCTGGTGGGTGGGCTTCAGCCATCGCGAACCCATTACCAGCCCACCCCTTCTTTAGAAGTGGGGCCAAAGGTTAACCAGGTGGCCCAGAGGCCCCGGCCAGTGGGGCAGCAGAGCCTAGATGTGTGGCCGCGGCGCCAGCACGGCGGCTATCCGTGAGCACCATCTGCTGGCAGAATCGTGGCACAGCGAGCAGCAGCCTCGCCGCCTCTGCGTCTGATCACTGCAGCACAGCTGCAGGTGCCATGCTGGGGGGACAGGGACCCGAAGGCCCCCTCACCCCACAGCATCCTGCGACTTTCCAGAGGGAGAAGAGCTGCCTGCCACAGTCTCTGCATCCTCTGTAGGGCGCTGCAGGGAGAGCTCCTGAGGGCCTGCGAAATGAGGCCCCTACTCCAGGCAGACCCTCCAAGGCCCCCACAGGCCAACCCTGAGGCTGTGTGAGCACTGGAGGCTGCAGCAGCGGCAGGCTCATCCTGCAGGTCACAAAGCCCTCACTAAGGTGCCGACACAGAGCAGGGCTGCCCAGCTGTGGTCAGGCACCCTGTGTTGACCAGCTCCAAGCCATGACTCAGCCGTTCCCACAGGAGGCTGGACCCAGGTGGGCCTGGCCAAGGCCCCTGCCCCCAAAGCTGGGGACAGGCCATCACCAGGTGGGGGTGATGACAGGGGACAGCCCATCACCAGGTGGGGGTGATGACAGTCAGTGCGGCCATCTGGGAAAGGCAGGTTCATGGAGGAACCGGCTCAGGACTCCCACGTCTGGACACATGTCATCAGCTTTGTTTTTTGTTTGTTTGTGTGTGTGTGTGTGTGTGTGTGTGTGTGTGTGTGTGTGTGTGTGTTTTGAGATAGAGCTTTGTTCTGTCGCCCAGGCTGGAATGCAGTGGCATGATCTCAGCTCACTGCAACCTCTGCCTCCCAGGTTCAAGCGATTCTCCTGCCTCAGCCTCCCAAGTAGCTGAGACCACAGGTGCACGCCACCACGCCCAGCTAATTTTTGTATTTTTAGTAGAGACAGGGTTTCACCACGTTGGCCAGGCTGGTCTCAAACTCCTGACCTCAGGTGATCCTCCCGACTTGGCCTCCCAAAGTGCTGGGATTACAGGTGTGAGTCACCGCACCTGGCCAGCCATCGGTTTTGCATCACCCCTCCACATGTGGGGATGTGGAAGGGGGACCCTGGAGATGACGGCTGCAGCTGGTCCCACCTATGGTGAGGGAGTGGGACACGCCGTGCCCACCCACGGTGGGGGCCCCAGATGGCAAGGCTGCTGGCAGGACCATGGTGGTCCCAGGGGGTCCCCGGGAGTGCATAGGTCACCGAGGGCTTGGTGGGGACTCACCTGAAGCACTTGGGTCCCCACCCACACCCAGGGCAGACAGCACAAGCACCACCTGATTCCACTCCCTCGCTCTCATTGCGATGGGCCACCCGGCTTCCGTCCCCACCCCACCACCACCCTGCGCGCCAGAGTCATTCTTCCGCCTTAAAAGATCAAAGGACGAGTCGGGCAGGCTCATCTCCCCGGCACGAGGCCCCGCGGCCCCCGAACCCCCGTCTCCCGCAGCTCATTAAAATGCCGTTTCGCAAGTTTTAAAATCTCTATGGTAACAAATTTTCTCAGCTCAGATAAAACCCGAAAGGATAAATTATGTTTAACATTAATCTCTCTCCTGGCAAAATAACAATGGATTTATTGTCACTGTGAGATGGTCCGTTCAAGTCCTGACGTGAGCCGGGACGCTGACACTTTATAATCTACGCTGTCCGGGCGCTCTGGGAGGGGGCTGGCTGTTGACCACTTCATATTTCATTTCACTAAGGAAAGTCACAGTTGAGGGGCGGCTCGGGAGAGGCTTGATGACTCCCTCAGAGCTTCTCATTTTTACTTCTGCTGAAGTCCAAAGGCACTAGCATTTTAGGTATACAGTAGGGGTGTAATAAATGCATTTGCACTGACACTGAATCATACTGAGCTGACAGTTATGAAGCATACTGCGCACTGCAGTGGGGCATGTCATCGATAAACGGTGATTAGTTCCCTAAGAAACATGGATGGGTACCAGGCTCTAGGGAGACACTGTCAAGGGACAGATATGGTCCCTGACCTCAGAAAGTGATACTCCCACCATAGAAACAGAAATCATCAAACCAGTTAATTAAATAATCACAGGTGGGGCGCAGTAGCTCACACCTGTAATCCCAGCACTTTGGGAGGCCGAGGCAGGAGGATCACTTGAGGTCAGGAGTTAGAGACCAGCCTGGCCAACATGGTGAAACCCTGTCTCTGCCAAAAATATAAAAAAATCAGGCGAGTGTTTCCGCGCTAGGATTACAGCATACCTGGAATCCCAGCTACTCAGGGGCTGAGGCAGGAGAATCGCATGAACTTGGGAGGTGGAGGCTGCAGTGAGCCGAGATCATGCCATCGCACTCTAGCCTGGGCGACAGAGCGAGGTTGTCTCAGTAATAACGATCATTGCAAACAGTGCAGGGGCGGTCGGGCACGGTGGCAGGAAGAGGCCGAAGGGTAGGAAATGAATAGGGGGTGTGGCTAACTTTAGATAGGGGGCCAGGAACCTGGGGGGCGGGTGCGGTTCCAGCTGGGCCCTGGCGGCCGAGGAGGGGCCGGGCTGAGGGTAGCCGGGTCGGGGCATCGAGGTGCAGCAGGATGTTCTGCCCAAGGGAGGCTGATTCCCGAGCCCAGGCCCGTGGTGCAGGAGGAGGACAGGGTGTCAGCCACGGGGCAGGGGGCAGTGGTACCAGTGCCCCAGAACTGGGGACACAGGCAAGATTAAACACAGTGGCTGAAGATCCCCTCAGGGGGCAGGAGCCCTCCCTTCCCAGTGTGCCGCTCAGCGTGTGTCACACCCGGAGTCCACACAGTCCTCGGCCATCGGCTCTGGAAGTCATTCCCCAAACCAGCCCTCCCAGGCTTTCTGGGTCAAGAATTCTACACCTGGGCCTTGGGGCAGAAAGGGGTGTCACTTCCGGGCAAAGACGCAAGTGGGCATTCCGTGGCTGATTCCAAAAGAGACGTTCTTCCAAAACCTCGGGAGCGTGCCTCGGGAGGCCTCTCCGCCCTCTGCAACCTCCGCCTCCTGAGTTTAAGCGATTCTCCTGCCTCAGCCTCCCGAATAGCTGGGATTGCAGGCGCTCACCACATAATACAAGTAATACAATTATTTGTAAAAAATAATACACATTGTATTATTTGTTTTTTAAAAAAATACGATTTTTGTACTTTTAGTAGAGATGCGGTTTGGCTATGTTGGCCAGCCTGGTCTTGAACTCCTGACCTCAGGTGTTCCGCCCGCCTCAGCCTCACAAAGGCTGCAGTCCTTTTTGAGGAGAGGCTGTCTGTGCTGATGAGTTCCACACTCTCAAGGCTGGGGATGCACAGCCCAGGGCCACTCTGGCACCCAAAGGGAATGTCTAAGGGAAATCGGGCTGCCAGCGCTCCCAGGCCACCTCGCCTCACCTCCACCGAGCTGCCAGGCAGCGACGTAGCACCTCGGGTTATTTCTTGAAATAACTCGTTCTGAAAACCATTCTTAAAAAGAACTGCCCAGATTCTCTGAGAGACACCCTCTTCAAGGTCACGATGGATTGAAAGGGGAGCTGGCAATGGCTGGGAATGAGCGCGCAGACAGCAAGTCTGTGGGGGCGGACGCAGCCCCTAAAGGAGGGTGTCCTCAGGGCCTAGCAGGATAGTCAGAAACACCGTGGCTCGTTCAAAGGCCACCCTGATCGTGGGTTCCATGCTGGGGTCACCTCCAGGTCCGCCAAGAAGATGCTGCACTGTCTTCTAATAATTACGGAGAGTCTCACGAAGCGAACTCACCTGCCCACACCCCCACCCTCTGCTCATCTGAATCAGAAAGAGGAGCTCATTTCGGTCCAGGCCAGGAACATCCGGCTAAGTTAGCAAGGAGACCAGGTTCTCCATCACCGGGTCATTTACTCACGTCCAGATAAGCCCAGAGGGTTTAATTAACTGGAACGGGTGCTGCCCCACGCCTGGGTGACAGGGACACTTGAATGCTGCATCTTAGAGCTGCTGCTTCCTCCCGCTCCGGGCGTGTAATTAAAAGCAGAGGCCCAGCACTCGGCGATTGATTCTCATTAAAAGCCTTGTGCGCTCTTGCCAGGAGTCACGACATTTGATTCACGTGTCTCCTAATGTCACTGCCCTCAGTTAAACTTCCGTCTGGAAGCGATTCCTTTCCCATGACCCTGAGGTCTCTTCCCACCTCATCCCCCAGGACCCATTAGACTCCTTCGGCAGGAGTCCTGGCCGCCCGGCTGCCACCAGAGACGCACCTGATAGAAAGCCGGGGCGCTGGGCCACTCCCTCCCACCCACCCACATCCAGCAGAGAAGGACAGAGTGCCACCATCACAACTGCACCTTCACTGCTGTGAGGGGAAAAAGGGCTCGTGCGGGGAAGCGGCTTCCTGGAAAACCCAGCCTGTTTCTGCCACCACACGGGTTCTGCTGCTCCCAGCTGGAGGCCAGGGGACCCACGGGACCCGCCACCGGAACAGAAGCGTGCGGCTCTTACCGGGGTACAGCTGCTTGGTGGGCGCGCTGAGCTGCGCGTCTTTGGTGACTCTGTAAGCGACGTCCGGGCTTTTGGAAGATCGCCGTCTGGCACAAAAGCCTGTGGTCTTTGTTATTCCATCGGGCAAGTTGTGAAAATCTAGAACCTTCAGGAGGTCTGCTGGCTGAGCTGAAATGACAGAGGAGGAGCGGGGTTAGCCACGGAGGGGAAAGGAGCACCTAGGAGCATCGGAAGCTGGGATGACGGGAAAGCACCCCCACTCCCCGCCGAGAATCCCGGCACTCAAGGGAGCCCCAGGACCAGCTCAGAGTGGCATGCTGGGCGAGGCAGGGCACAGCGCTGTGGAGGAGGGTCCCATCCCTGCCACCAGCAGCCACACACCCGGGGCTCACCCAGGCTTGCCTGGCTTTGATGACGGCCACCTTCCTCATGTGCCCTCCTGGCTCCTGAGGCTGGCAGGGGCCACACACTCAGCCTCCCAGACATGGCTTCTCATTGGCCACGTAAGGCGGACAGTCCAGGCAGATGCTGGCAGGACACAGAAACCCCGCAGCTGAGCCGGCCGCCTTACAGGTGCTGTGCGGGGACCCGGGAGAGCCGGCGGGTCACAACATCTGCTCTGCAGCCCTGAGAGCCTTCACCCCACCTAAGGCCCCTCCAGAGGCCACAGGGATGTCACTGGCAGAGTTTATCCCCCTCGTTATCCACCTGGATTGTCGCCTTCCCGTGGCCATTTACAGTTGGTGTGCAGTTTCCATTGGCCCTGAAGACCCCTGCCCACATCACCAGACATGCAGGGCCAGAACAAGGGAGGGGAAGCCCCTACATCCCTTCCAGAAGGTTCCCGACCCATGATCCAGGGGCTCTCGCAGAAGGGTAGGGGAGAAGCTGACCTCTGGCCAGCTGACACCATGATAGTTACCAGGGAGCTCAGCGGTCACCCTCAGACACAAAAGACGGCCCCCATCTGCCAGAGCCTCCATCCCCCTCACCACGAGGATCCCAGACCCACATCCACCGCAAGGCGTGAACCCAGGCACCCACGCTGAACAAGGTCAGCTTCACGGGGAAAGCACTGCTCCTGTGACTACAAAGCAGCGGCTCCTGGGAGTCCCGGCAGAGAACATAAACTCGAAGCTGGCGCGGCAGCAACAGAGCAGTTGGGCTGGGGTGGCCAGTGGGGTGGACCCAGCAGCCAGCAGCCGCCTGCCCGGGAGGTGTGGGTGGGGCTGGCCGTGCCCCTCTGCTGGCCAATCAGAGCATGGCACCGCCCTGTCCCAGATGGTCAGCTCAGAGATGGACAGGAGAACAGCCAAGCCAGGGAAGCTCTGTCCTGACACTTTTTTCCTTTGGGAATGAGGAATCCTCCCTGCTCTGCTGGCTCCAAACACCAAATAGGAGCCTGGAGCTTCTGGCAACTGTCTCCCGAGGGGGTGGAGAGAGCCTGCCTGAGGATGCGGAGAGAGACTCTGGCCACACTGTTTTGGTAGCTGGATCAAGCTGTGCCTGAATGAGGCTCATCTACAGAAACCAGTGTATCCATCTTTATTTGAAAGCCAATTGGAGTTGGATCCCAACATATGCTACTAAACAGGACCCATCTCTGGGTGCAGCGTCTGGCCCTCCTTAGCTATCAGTTCCCCGCTCCCTGGCCCTCCTCCCCAGGGAGGAATGATTACAAGCCTGAAATGAGCTCAAGAGGAAGGTCCCACCTTTTACACAAGGGTGGAAGGTTGGAGGTGAGACAGGATGGCCAACACAGGTTACCTCACAGCCAGTGGCACCCGGAGCCTCAGCACTACCCCAGGAGAAGGTGGCCGGGCCGCCAGAGACGACAGCACGGCCCAGCAGGCCCTCAGCAAGAGAAGCACACAGACAGAGGACTCAGCCTCCCCAGCACTCCCTGTCCCTCCAGGGCACTCAGTGTGGGCACTGCGCTTGGTGCACAGGCCACAGGGAGGTGCGGACAGGGCTCTATGCCACCCCCACCCAGGCCATGAGCAGCTGATGGTGTGGGAAAGACCACAGCCTGGGCGGGACTCTGGAGGAGACCAGGGTGGAGGGAATCGAAGCCACGCTTAAGGATCATGAAGCACCTCCCGTCCACAGTTCTCTGGAAGGTGCCACAGTATCTGCGTCCCAGGATCCCGCAGTCCCTGCCTCCGACGGTGTCATCTGTCCTCTGCCAAATTTCCCACCACGGCGTAGAAGCAGTTATAAAGCAGAGGGGTGTCACTGGGACCCAGAACGCCCTGATCCAGGCTGGCCTCTCATGGCCTCTCTGATTTCCTGGGTGGCTTTCGGCTGTCAGGCAGGGCACAGCCCACCCAGCTCTGCCACTCCCTCAGGCATACGTGGCACCTCCCACCTGGCCCCCACAAAGAAGGCTTTGGCGGGCTTTTGCCTTTGACTTCAGAAACAACGCCGAGGACAGGTGCCTGGCGAGGTGGCCCCGCGCAGCCCCAGGCTTGGATGCGGCCCCTGGGAAGGGAGGACCGCGCCAGCTGCCGGCCCACCTGCTGAGACACAGCGCCGAGCCGTGGGCCATCCCGAAGACTCAATTCCAACACGGGCAGCGGCCAGTGCCGGGGAGCAGGGATCCCGGCCGGGGCTTCCTGGACTCGCACGGTGACAAGCCCGTGATGCTCTTCCCAGACTCAGACTTGCAAGCCTGTTTTCTCGATTGCAGAAGGCCAGAGCTGTTTTCCAGCAGGCGTGGTGGACATGTTCGTAGATCTCTGCTGCAACGAGCTAAGAGGCCGGCAGGCCTTTCCCAGGCCCAACGCCACCCCTGCTGCCGGCCAGGGCCTGCTGTGCCAGAGTGGAGGAAGTCATTCATTTTCTTTCTAAAGAGCAAAGGTGCGGTGAGGCCGGGAGGAGCCTGGCAACGCGGCCTCGCAGGAGCTTTCCTTCCAGCCTCCATCAGGATGAAAACTCCACTTGGACATGGCAGGAGCTTCGGGGACAGGTGGACGTGGGTTTGAGGCCAGTGTCACCCCCCACCAGAGGGTGGCCCCCAGTGGGTTGAGGCCAGCAGGAGGAGCTGCAGCATCAACAGCGGCCACTGCACACTCGCCCGAGCATGTCCCAGCCCAGCAGACAAGGACCCCTGCTTCTGCCCTTTCCTCCTCGACAGCCAGGCAGGAGCCCAGCACCAGCGGTTCCCATCGGACCCACCAAGCGGCCCAGGTGCTCCGTGAAGGTGGAGGCGGCATCACCGCGCGGTCTCCGCACCCGGCCTGGCACCCACTCTTTAATAAAGGACCATGCGGACGTGCAGAGGTTCCTGAGACCGACATTTGGCGCACAGAGGGCTGGCTCCAGAAGCTTCATGAAACAACAGCGTTGTTGCTTCGGTGCAGCCCCCGCCATGACCGGATCACCTACGCGGTCAGTCCCACAGAACAGCAGGCGCCTGCTGGGCCTGGGTCACCCAAGCCCCACCCCCGCCTCCCCTGGGCGCTGTCCTGTTCTGCAGTCTGGGGAGCTGAAAACTATATTTCCCAGGTGCCTTTGCACAAGGATGCAGGGTGCACATTAGATTCCACCAATCAGAGAGACTCGTGGAGCTGGACAGCGAGAGGCAGGTGGCAGCCTCCCATGCCCTCACGTAGCCAGCAGGGACATATCCCCAGACACAACATACGGAGGGCCTGGTGTCCAGACCCCCAGGCACACCATGGCCTGGGGACCAGCTTCAGGGCACCGGGTGGCACTGGCACCAGCAACTTCCTGCAGTCTGGGTGGCAGCCTCACTATGTGCTGCAACCCCAAATGGGATAGTGGAGTGGGGCCTCCTGACCCCACCAGGCCAGGTCTCCTGGAGGCACACCCACCTGACTCCCTACCTTCAATCCCTTTCCCCAAAGTGGCCTGCTCCCACCAGCTGTGTGCACTGAGACCAGGAGCCTCCCTGGAGCCACCTATGTGGCATGAGCCCAGCACAAGGCCACTGGCATCAGAGACTTCACATCACAGGTGGCGTTTAACCCCAGCTCCTAGGGGTCAGTCATCCTGCACAGCCCCCCTCACCCAAGGAATACATCTTCCCCATCCCTCAGTTGACCAGTTAAAGTTGGCCTCTGCATCCCTGCACTTTTACAGGTAGAAGTATTTGTCACCGGTGTCCCAGTGGCCCATTTTCATTATAATGTAACCAGGCATCATGTCCCCAGACCTATAAAGGAAGGGATGCCAGCAAGGTCAGTTTTAAGGAAGAAGGGAGGTGACTGGAAATAATCTGATGGCCGGGCACGGCGGCTCACCCTGGAACCCCAGCACGCTGGGAGGCTGAGGCAGGCAGATGGCTTGAGCTCAGGAGGTGGAGACCAACCTGGACAACATGGCAAAACCCGCCTCTACAAAAATACAAGAATTAGCTGGGCTTCGTGGTGCACATCTGTGATCCCAGCTACTTCAGGGGCTGAGGTGGGAGGTTGCTTTGAGCCTGGGTAGTGGAAGTTGCAGCAAGCCAAGATCGAGCCACGGCACTCCAGCTTGGGTGACAGAGCATAACCTAGTCTCGAGAAAAAGAAAGAGAAGAAGAAAGGAGAGAAGGAAGAAGAGGGAGGAGGAGAAGAGAGAGAAGAGGAAGAAGAAGAAGAAGAAAGAAGAAGGAGGAGGAGGAGGGGGGAGGAGGGGAGGAGGAGGAAGGAGGAAAAGGAGGAAGGAGAAGGAGAAGAAGAAGAAGAAAGGAGAAGAAGGGTAGTAATTTGGAAATGAGTGTTTGACTTCTGGGTGGTTGCCATGAAGCACAAAAGGCAGCACAAAGACCCTGATCAGAAATAGAAGCAAGACTGTGGCACTGGCACATAGTAGGAGCTCAACACAGATGGAGAGGAGGAGGAGGAGGAGGATGGATGGATGGATGGATGGTGGATGGATGGTGGATGGATGGATGGATGGATGGATGGATGAATGGGTGGGTGGACAGATGGATAGATGGATGGGTGGGTGGAGAAGTGGTTGAGTGAATAGGTGGATAGGTAGGTGGATGGATGGATGAGTGGGCGCATGGGTGGGTGAGTGGATGGTGGGTGGGTGAGTGGATGGTGGGTGGGTGAGTGGATGGTAGGTCGGTGGACAAACAGGTGGGCGGAAGGATGGATGAGTGGATGGATCAATCTGTGAATAAATGAGCAGGTGAATGGTGAAAATCAGGAGGTACA